TATTTTCAAAAACTTAGACTACAATCACCAACATTATCATGATCAGCTAAATATTTTTCAATGATAACCCCACCCCAATGATTTCACAACCATTAACATCTCAAAGATTTTTCTATGCCATGAACGGTACATGGCTATGTTAATCATGATGTCCCATGTTTCTTTTGTTGTTTTCATATTTCAATTATTCACCAAAGAAAGCAAAATATTGACTATATAGACCAAAAAAACCCAAATGCAGTATTCAATACCACCAATACACACACATAAAATTATGGAAAAGTTTAAGTCAATATAGCATATTATATAGCTATGAGTTATGTCTGATAGTACTGAAGTTTGAAACCCAAAGGACACACTTAATTAAATTCTGCAATTAAAGGACCAAGAAGGACCACCGAGACATTATGGCAGCAGATAGGCTACCAAATAGGACACAGCATTGCAATCGGAACAGAAGAGAATGAGAAAATAACAGTTTTTAGGGTTTTGTTTTTAGAAATAAATAGAGACAATAGTTAGGTTGTTGGATGTTTATATATGTTTTTGTTTTCTATAAGACAGTTGACCCGTATCTAATTGAGAAACAGCCACAAAAAAAAAAAAAAAACTTTGGAGCCAAAAATTGGATTTTTGCTTATTTGAGTCCGAGAAATTTGGGTTAAGCCGGACATCCTGAATCGCGCGCGATTTACCAATTGTGTATTGCGAATGTGTGAGTTCGATGTGATTCTGTGCATTTGAATTCCACCAACAGTGTTCGAATTCGATATTCCATATGTATCGAATTGAATCGTACAATTAGAATCTCAATCATATGATTCTAACATTACAAAGAAAAAATAGACAGCTCACCATTCATTGAGTCATTGTCTCCAGAATCTAGAACCCAAGTGGTGCCAAACATGAAAGTAGTAGAAGTACGCTATGGCCAATGTAGAAGTGGGAAGTAGATAGGCCAATGAGGAATCAGTGACTGAGTAAGTTGATCTTGAAGTTGGCGAATCTAGGATTGAACTAAAAGATAGTTCGTAGCTAAGTGGAACGGTCAGTCTAGTAGCATCAGTATAGTGATACGTATGAGAGAATGATATGAGTAAAAGTGCTTCAATATATGGATTAAACCTAAAAAAGGCTTTAATATTCTCAGCCTTGCCACAATGACAACAAATAACCTTTCAATCCAAGAGAAGAGAGATGCAGAATGAGCAACGAGACCATCTAATTAGTGAAAAGAGTCTGCACTAAAGATATGCGGGAGATGATAAGACCAATGCAACAACGCTCCTTGGCTATCAAGGATTGCAATGCTCATATAACGACGCACATGAGACGTAATTAAAATGTGAATTTGAAGAGACTCGAATTCAGATTTATAAACCATCAGAAAGTAGTATGTATGTAAAACACCCAGTCCAATTTGGCAAAGTAGATGTAAAATGCTACAAAATTAGGGTTAGTTTTAGAGAGGAAGAAATAGAGAAGAGAAAAGATATATTGAAACTAACATGGTTTTAGAGTTATCGAATAACTTTACACCAATAAAACATTATGCATTTAAAAAAGCCTAATTACCCAATATTGACCATAGTGCCCTTGACTTAAACAAATAATAACAGAAAGAATCATATAAGATATTCTAACACTCCTCCTTAAGCTGAAGCATAGAAGATAAAACTATGCCCATTTGAAAGATAAATGATGAAAGAAGATCGAGCCGAAGGTTTTATTGAGAATATCACCCATTAATCCTTAGAATGAACATAAGAGCACAAGTTGCTTTCGCGTGAGAGATCTCTGAATAAAATGACAATCAACTACAAATCGTTGGTAACACTCAATAAAACATGGATTATTGCAAAAAGATAGCAAACCGATTTCACAACACATACGCATAGGGATGGGAACAGCAATACCAAAATCCAGTGGAAGGTAGTGAACCGCAAACATTCTTACGAGCGTATGAGCATGGCACCGGGTACTTGGCCTCAACACTAGAACCAACCAACAACAGAGTCTGTTTTTACTATGTCCAAGTAACAGATACGACCAACGAGGACAAGTATTAACAACCCTATACCTTGTTTACCATTACTGACTTTTGATTATCCGATAAAAACACCGAATTACCGTAAGCTGAATTGATTTGACTGAATAATTGGACTGGAAAATACTAAAGCTACTGACTGAAATTGGAAAACCGAATTGATTGATATAGTTAGTTAAATTGCACTTCTAATCTGCTTACTGTAATGAATAGCGTTCATGCTTATATGTTTTAAACTGGCTAACTTGTTAGAGGCCTTATCGGCGGACCAAACTAGAAATTGAATTGATGTTTTAATTGATCAACATAATTAATGTGAATTTATGGATATATTATCTGAAACTGTATTAAGTAGTGATTAAATTAGAATTAAATGATGGTTAATTGTAAAGTTTGCCGGTAATTACCTAAAATGCACTAAGTG